TCATCCCCCTTTCCTCATCTGCTCCGCCTTCACCCCCACCCTCCCCCTCTTCACCTTCCTCCAGCCCCATCTTCTCCTACTCCTTGTCAGAGGATGAGATGTTGCAGCCTGGAGCTCGAGCTACTGACTGTGCTTGTCCCTGCAGGTGTCGCCGGAGGCCTCTGAAAGAAGTGTGCTGCGACATGGCTTTCAGCACACGCTGGCCAGAGGACGCTCGAGCGACCAGTTTCTAATGACGCCTTTCTCTTGCTGTTACTCGAGCCAGCGCCCACGGAGCCAACGAGTGCACAACTCGCGCGAGATGGAGATGCAGGGAAAAAGGGGCGTGTGAAGACAGAGGAGCAGGGGAGGGGACGATCTGCACTTCTTTGACACGGTGCCTCCATCCATCCATCCGTCCATCCATCCATCCATCCATCCATCCATCCGGCCAAGCAAAGTGAAGAAATGCCTTGCAGCTTGAAGTCGGCTGGGGGTCTGAGGTGGCCCAGCAAAGGTTCTGGCCAGCAGACAGGGGGGACGGGGGCCTTTAACCTTGTTCCTTTTTGGCCTCCTGGGGGCTTCTTGTCGCCACGGCTGGACGCGCCTCGACAAAGTGGAACGTTTGGACCCTGGGAGGGCTCTGGGGACCGATTTTGAGCGGATTTGTTTTCGTCCCCCTTCTTGGCACATTTTCTAGAGGTTTCTTAGATGAAGTCCGAATAGAAGGGGTCGGAGGATGGCGCCGCATCGCCGCTACATCGTCGACGTCGGCGATGCGTCGGCGCGGTCGGCGTGGAGAAAGTGAGTTCCACATCGAGCCGCATCGCCGTGCTCGGCGATGCGGCGCGATTCTCCGATCCCCCATCTGCTCGGATCCCATCTGGGAGGCCTAGATTTTCTCGGGCTCCATCCATCAGGCGATCGTAAACATGGATCAAGGGGGCGTGGATTAGCGACGGGTCCCGTTTTCATGGGAAATCGCGGATATCCGCCGCCGAACGAGGCGGCACCAGCCGCATTTTGGGGAGGGCACCTCCCCCGATCCATGGATCGGGCGACTGCGCGCCAAATCCTTGGATCGCCAATCCATGTTTGCGCGCCCCCGAATCCAGCTACGACCCCTCTGCTTCGGATGCAACTCCTGGGAGGTCAAATTCTGTTTTTGCCCTGGTCCGAAATCCATCTTAATCCCGCGAAATCCCGCTTAATCTGGCTCAATCCCGCTTAATCCCGCTTAATCCGGCTCAATCCGAGGCCCACTCTGGCATAACAGCCCCCCAATGGGGTTTAATCCTCTTTAGTCTTTCCGACGGAAACCTCCCAGTAGTTGCTTGCTGACCCTGCCGCCTCCAACTAGGAACATGCTTCTTGTGAGGCCTTGGACAGCTCGCCCGCCCGGCCGCCATCGGGTCAGAGCCTCTGCTCGCTGCCGGGGCGTGCGCGGGCGCGGGGCACGGCGAGCGACTGCGCAGCCCGGGCTGCGCTCTCCGGCTCCTGCGCCGTGGCTCGAGGGAAGAAGCGCGCCGACCACGACCAAGGTGCCGCAGGATCTCGTCGACGCCGATCTTGGTCAGGGTCCGCTGCGGTCGTCGCCGAGTCGCGAGGATGATCCACGAACTGAGGCTGGCCGAGAGGTCGGCACGACGTTTCCGCGCTCTCTTGTCATGGTCCCCGTTCTCTTCCCCGCCAATGCCTGCGCAAGGATCCGGCAGGAATGCCCGACGGAGACGGACTCTACATACTGGCTTGAGCGCGGCTGTGCATCGGGAGTTCCGAGCTGAGGCCAAGCTGGTCCCACCGAGCGCGACCGGACGGGAAGCTCTGGGGCAGGCGCGCGATGAGCAAGGTCTCATTCCCCGCAGGGGGTGGGAAACGACTTCGTACCACGTCGCACGATTCGTTGCAACTTCGGACTGATCAAGTTTAGAAATGCGCTGCATCTCGAATGCTCAACAAACATTTTCAGAAGTTCTTTGTTCTAGCTAGCGGAGCCGATTTGTTGCAGATGTTTCTTCCGACCTTGTGCAGATTGCTCCTCCTTTCCCTTGCGCACCTCGCGCAGGTTCCAGCAATATTTCCATTCGTGGTCAGAGTGCGCCTCTCCAAAATTGCAGTTCTCTGGCGGGGGGGACCGTGGTGGATCTGGCTGAGGGGAGACAGCGCACCTTCAGCAGAGAGGATGTTTCGCGACGGCGACACAAAAAGTACCCAGAGATCCGAGGCTCCGACAAAAATTGGGGCGGCCGGTTTTGCATTATTTGCCGCCTCCAGGGGCCCTCAATGAGCCCCAGGAAGACAGCCGCAAAGCGACTCAGGATGGAAAGCTGGCCTTAGGGAAGTGGTCCAGACCTCTGGGGGTCCACGCATCGAAAAATAGGAGCGCAAGATGTCTTGGTATACCTCACCCCGCCTGGTCCCCCCCCCATCAGTCGGGACGCCCGACATGGGTACGGAAAGAATGGGTACAAAGACCGACAGCAGTTCTTGTTCATTTTGAACAGGACTCGCTGTCCGCGCCGCCGCGGCCTGTGTTCGTTTGAGACACAAGGCCGCCTGCCCAACAGCGGCCGCTGTTGGTCTGGGACAACATTTGCAGTTGGGCATTGTGCCCATTCTTTCCGTGCCCATCTCGGGCGTCCAAAGTCAGGTTTTGTGTTCACCTCGCCTGGGCGGGGCACGACTGCAAGCTGGGGGTGGTGCAAGAGCATGATCAGCGACGCGCCGCCGTGAGGCACCCACCAGCGTGTCGCTGTCGAGAAAGCGCCAGACCTTCGGACACGGGTGCGAGGTCTATAGTGCGCTGATGGCCCCCTTCACGGCGGCGTGTCAGCGATACAGCAGGTCTGTGTCGTGTCGATGCGCAGCGACCATTAAAAAAAACCATCACCGCCAAACGAACACTTAATCCATATTCTGGGTTGTATTCGTCGTCAGGGGAGACGCTGAGAGCATTTGAGACGTGTCGAAAGGTACATCTTACTTAAGCGTGTATCAGCGCATTGTCCTGAAGCTGACTGCGACCACCGTGCGAGCGCTCACGGTTGAACGCCGCCTTTGGCCTGGAATCGGCCGACATCGAACGATCAGCGTGACCGGAACGCCGCGGTCGTTCAAGGTTGAGCGATCCATGTGGTGTCAAGAACCAACGCCCGGGTCGTCACGACATGAACCTGCAGTGTTCCTTTTCCCTCCCGAATGAGGGCATATCACGCCCGCCCACCCCGAGGTGAAGTGCCTGGTGGAGGCGCCGTTCCCCTTCAGCGCGAGCGTCGACGAGGCCACGATCGCGCCAGGCTCCCACCCACGGCCGCCGCGGTCTCCTTCGGAGCATCCGCCGTAGCGGGCGCAAGTGGATCTTCTGCTCCACTGCTTCCGCTTTCCTTCGTCATCATCGTGATTTGGCATTGGTTCTGGCCAGCAGGACGGAGGGGGCAAGTTCGAGGTTCTGGGCTCGGGAAGGCTTTCTGCCATTTTCGGCCTGCAGGGGCCGTTTTCGGGCCCCAGGACAGTCAAAAACGGATCTGGGGAGAAAAATTGCACCGGATGGACCCCAGGAGCCAGGGTCCAGGGACCGATTCTGAGCGGATCTGGCCTCATCCCCCTTCCCGACCCAGATATCCTCCGAGATGATTTTTTCCATCCGCGATCCCAGAAGAGTCCGGCCCCCTTCCCTGCGGGTAGTTTCTCGTCCCGGATCCATTTTGGACGGTCCTGGCGCCCGATGACGGGCCCCGGAGGCCGAGGTCGGTGAAACACCGCCAGAGTGAGAAGACCATATGTTCGGGGGGGCCCAGCCAGGTCAGCCAGGTCAGACCCCCTGGCCGCCTCAGAAGTCTGCGCTGGTCTTCCTCCCCCGTGCTCCACGGCAGATCCAGGCCGCCCAGATGGGGTTCGAGTAGGTGGGGTTGGAGGATCGCGCCGCATCGCCGATGCATCGCCGATGCGGCTCGATGTGCAGCCCGATTTGCTTCACGTCGACGACGCCGATACATTCGACGATGCGTTGCCGGTGCATTACCGATGCATCGCCGATGCATCGGCGATGTATCGGCGATGTCTCGGCGACGCGGCGCGATCCTGCGACCCATCTACTCCGACCCCATCTAGGAGGCCTTTATGCTCGGGGCTGCCCCTCTTCCTTTTGTCGCCTTGCCTTATCCCTTGGTCTTCTCCTTGGATTCGCTCGGACGTGCTATTGTTGTTGTTGTTGTTGTTGTTGTTGTTGTTGTTGTTGTTGTTGTTGTTGTTGTTGTTGTTGTTGTTGTTGTTGTTGTTGTTGCTGCTGCTGCTGCTGCTGCTGCTGCTGTTGTTGTTGTTGTTGTTGTTGTGGTTGTTGTTGTTGTTGTTGTTGTTGTTGTTGTTGTTGTTGTTGTTGTTGTCGGCGAGGGCCATCGATGAGCACGTTGGGCCATTTTGCGAACAAATGCGCGCACGACCCCGAAACATGCACGGGGAGTGGACGTCCGCGCGATGGCGGGTCTCCCCCTTCCCTGCTCCCTCCTCTCGCACCTCCTGCTTCCCTCATTCAAGCAGAGGCGAAGCGTCCTGGCTTGCCTATAGGCCCACCAAAGAATTTTCGACTAGCCTTGTGTGGTTTGCACGAAGTGTTCTCTTAACATTTCTTGCTTAGACCGTCTTGTTTTAATACGTCGAGACTTTTGCGCGGCCCCCCGACATTCCTGTTTGTGTGCAGTGTTTTGTTCTTCTGCCCTCCTTCCCCCCTTCCCCCTCCTCGTCGCAGAGGGTTCCAGGCGGGCGTTGCGCGAGAGCTCTCGTTGTCCCCTGCCAGCGGCAGGCTCCGAGCTGGCGGTGACCGTCGAGTTCGATCCTGCCCACAGGGTCAGTCGGGAGAGCGGCACGGTCGCGAAGACTCTGACCATCAGGTATGACGACCATCCAGCCACGAACACGGTCTGCCCTCGGCAACGGCGCTGCATGTTGGCGCTCTTTCGGGGCAGAGTGTCTGGGGGCGGTCGGCTTCCGGAAGGAGGTGGGGGGCCGCAGTGGCTTGCAGTGGCTGGGCTGGGAATCTCGCAGGAGGGATTTGAGCTGCTCGCATCCGTTCAAGAAAGGTGATGGGCGGGAGTCTTTCTCTTTCGTCAGAGCACGGTCAGATTAGCATATGGCTGGGAGCTGTGACGCAACGATGTGTTCCATCGAGGAGAAATCGGTCTGTAGTGATTAGGCGGAGGAGGAGGAGGAGGAGGAGGAGGAGGAGGAGGAGGATGAGGAGGAGGAGGAGGAGGAGGGGTCGAGGGGGAGGATGAGGAGGAGGGGGAGGAGGCGGAGGAGTAGGATGAGGATGAGGAGGAAACCACCAGTAATAATAAGGAGACCATCACAACTAGTACCAAGAAGAACAACAGTAATGGTAAACGATAGTAAAAGTAGAAACAGCACAAACACTAATACTATGAATAATATGAAACAAACTAATAGTAATGTTGACGCGAGAAGTGATAGAAAACATGAGTAACAGTAAGAAGAGGATGGTGAGGAGAAGGGGATGGTCATGATGAGGAGTGTCAGGCGGAGGAGCACGATGAGGATAACGAGGGGAAGAGGTAGGGGGAGGGGAGTGAAGGACGACGAGGAGATTAGGGATGAGGGAGATAGGCCTGACGAAAGAGCCATCAGGTGTGAATGGAGGGATGGGGCTGCTACGATCTCGTTCGGGTCCACCTCGAAGCAGCGCTCGCGGAGGCGCCAGGGCGCTGGGCCGGGGCCTCGCATGATGACGCGCGTACCCTTTCGACTACACTTACGAGTGACCCTTCGCCGGAGTGACCTCTGGTGCGGGCCCACAGGTGGCACCCCGATCGCCGAACGCGTTGCGGTAGTAGCGTCTTGCGCGCTTGTGTTTGGCCCCCCCGCGGCCCCCCCAAAAGCAGCGCACCAAAGGTCACCCTTGCCCAGGGTCGCCCTTGCGTGTAGCCGACCCCTCGGGATTCGCAGGACTCGTCCATGACGGCCGCAGGTGGCCCACGGACGGCCCGAAAAGGGGGACGTCACACGAGGCCGTCCAAGAGGACCCAGGGGCCGCTTGGAAGATGCCCCATTCGCAAGAGCGCGAGCGCAGGCTTTTTTCGAAAGTTATTGCTGCGAAGCCATGTCCTCTTACATGCTTTCGGGACACTCGGTTTTGAAATTTACGGAACCTAAGGTTTTTGATGGAATTGGGCATGCGCGCGCGACGACGCGCGCGTGTGCACTACGTCCCATTTTTTGCAAGGGGGCTTCGAAAACTGATGATTTTTGATAAACGAATGTGCGTTCACAGTATTTGTTCCAAAGGATGGAGGGGGGGCGATACCGGTTTAGCTGGGATGGTACGAACTCATCTTTAGGATGGATGATGGGGCAAACTCATGTGTACATTGCAATGCGGCAGGGGTACCGTTAAGTCCAGGGGGGGGGTAGGGGCGATAGATCTTATCACATTTTAGAAAGGAGAATCTATACGGTACAGTCTTTGTGGTGCACTCTATGCAGTGCAATCTATGTTATGCAATGCAGGGCTGCGAAGTGTCGGCGACGGGGCGGCGACGGAGAGCGCATAGCCGCCAGACTGGCCACACAGCCCAGACCACGGGCGGCGACGAGGCGGCGACGGGGTGGCGACGGCGAGCACATGCCCGTCGGACCGACAATCTGGCCCAGTTACTTTGAGCACGCGCGAGAGCCTCTAAGTGCAGGCACTGTTTGGGGAGCCGTAGAGGACATGATTGGTCTTTGTGTTTTGGGGGCCTCTTGTCTTCGGGGCCCAGCAGGAACGTCCAGATGGCCTGGGAGGCGAACGGAACGTGCTGCGGGGGCGTCCAGGGGGTCCAAGTGCCCCGATATCGAGGGGGGGCCCCTCCAGGGTTGTAAGCATATAGGAGTGGGAATATGTGCACGCACATGCAGGCTTGACGTTCTTGGAGTGCGCCGATTTGTCAAAGCGAACAGTGCACGCTGAGCTCTGTGTGCAGCTCATCCTCCCCTTCCTTCACGTTCGTGTCTCCTCTTCAATTTTGATCTCTTCGCTTTTCGGTCTTATCATTGGAGGTCCAGCTGATCGGGAAAATGGTCTTCCCCAATTTAGAGTTGGATAGCAAAGCGTGCGACTTCGGCACCGTACTGAACGAGACCAGCAAGAAGATCAACGTGAGGCTGGCATTCAAATGCCTGCTCATGCCAATGTAGAGAAGAGACACCGATATGTTGATATATCTGCACATTGATATACACATATGTGTTTTATATGCAACTGTATGTGTATATGTACGTGGCTGCCAGAACTTCTTGATCCGCTCGCTGACACCCGCCTGAGTCATCCTTGTCTCTTCTATCAACTTTTCTCCAAGCAGGCTCTGCCTGATGGTTCCAGACATACTTCTGTACAAGATGGCCATCGGCGATTGCCATCTTCGGCCAGGTTCCTCGAGTATGCCCTCCTTCCGTTCTTCGGAGCAACGCAGCGCAACGCAGTGCAATGCAAGGGAAAGCGCTGCAACACAACGCAAATCAATGCGTTGCAGCAAAGCACAACGAAACGAAGCAAAGCGTTGCAAAGGAATTCAACTATGAAGAACACTTGGAGCAATGCAGCGAATTGCGTTGTAATGCAATCCAGCAAAATCCAGCAGCTCTGCCCAACACAGCACAACTCGTGCAAACCGATGCTGCAATATGAGACAGCTTGCCCCCATGTTTTCATATTGCTTCGAGCTACTTCTCATGTTCGGCGTGGCTTGGGCCATCTACTCAGATTGCCGCCAGCCTGCCCGAAACTCACCACTGCGGTCACCGTCGAGACCACCCAGTGCAGACGGTGCTCTCACCGGGGTCTCTGATCGGTCGCCCGCAGACATGCTTACACCATGTGTGCGTCGCTCCTGCAGGGGCGATGCGCACATTGGAAAGAGCATGTTCTGCCGCCGCTGGCAGAAAAACCGGGGGGGGGGGTCACTGGGGGTTTCCAAACCGTCCCCCCCCCCTCCTCCAGAAAATTTGGGGGCGTCACTACCCGTTCGAAGGGACAGTGTGGACAAGGGGACAGTGGTGGGGACGGTGGTGGTGGGGACAGTGGTGAGGGGACAGAGGGACAGTGGTGGGGATAGTGGGGACAGAGGGACAGTGGTGGGGACGGGAGTGGTGGGGACAGTGGTGAGGGCGGTGGTGAGGACGCTGGTGGGACAATGGGACAGTGGTACAGTGGGGAGAGTGGTCGGGACAGTGGGGACAGTGGGACAGGGATGGGGACAGTGTGGACAGTGGGATAGCACAGTGGGACAGTGGTGGGGACAGTGGGGACAGTGGGACAGTGGTGGGGACAGTGGGGACAGTGGGACAGTTGTGGGGACAGTGGGGACAGAGGGAAGAGTGGGACCGTGGTGGGGACAGTTGTGGGGACAGTGGGGACAGCGAGACACTGGTGGGGGCACTGGTGGGGGCAGTGGGGACACTGGTGGGCACAGTGGGCACAGTGGGACAGTGGTGGGGACGGTGGTGGTGGGGACATTGGTCAGGAAGGTGGTGAAGACGGTGGTGGAGACCCGGGAGTCGTTTGCCGGCGGCGAGTGGGGAGGGGGGGGGTTCGAATCGGCAGTGAACCCTCTCGGTTTTCTGGAGGGGGGGGGCGGTTCGAACCGATAGTGACCCCCTTGGTTTTCTGGAGGGGGGGAGGGGTAGGGGTGTTTCTTTTTTTCTGGGGAAGGGAAGGGGGGGGAGGGGGAGGGGTTCGAGCAGGGGGGGGAGATTTTCGGAGAGGGAGGGGGGAGCCCGGGTTCCGGAGGGAGAGGGGGGGGGGGAACTTTCCACGGCAACGCGGCGGTGGATCTCACGCTCTCTCGCGCATGGAGCCCTGCTGTTCTGGCGGCACCGTGGCGGGCGCGCGGCCTGGCCGTGCCGCCCGGAGCACGGCTCGCTGCAGCAGATGTCTGTGCTAGTTATACACCTCCCGGCCGGGTTGCGCGCCTGCCCAGCGAGCTCCCCGAGTGTTTCCACGGTGATGTGTCGTTCGTCTCGCCGCCGTCTCCGCCCCTCTCCCCCCCTCCTTCGCCGTCCTCCCTCCCCCTCTCGCCCAAGCTCTTTCCGCCGAGTGTCGCCACACAACATGACATCTCGATGCGCTGATCCACTTTCTGGCCCAGCGCTTTGCCAGGGAAGGCGGAGTTGCCTCCCTGAGGGTCACGGTCTCGTGTTACATATTCGCTAGGCAGGTACTTGCCCATGGGCTGTCAGAACCTACGGCCACATGGGCTGCCAGAGCCTACGGCCACAGCAGCAGCGGGGCCCCCAGAGTGCTGTGCCACTTCCCAGGGAGTTCTTCCTTCCGTAACTGATCAAGAATATCCATGACGTAAATTTAGATTTAAGACGATCGGTGTTGGTTCCAAAGTGTTGGCAACTATTAAGAATGAGAAGTAGCTTTTTGTGCGGTCCCGCTGCTGGGGTGGAGTCGTGACATTCCCCCTCTGTGCCCGCCTTCTTTTTCTGCCGCCCCCCCTGGGTTTTTCTCCTGTCGATTCCGTCCCTTCAAGTTCTGCTATGTGGAGAAGCCTTCACGTCACCCACTCCCTCCCCAATGCAATTCATCTTCCTCTTTTTCGCGTCCTTTCCTTCTCTTCTCCCCTCCAGTGTTTCGCTTCCCTTCCCTCTGTTAACCTGCCGTTGATTTCGCTTCGCCCCCTTCCTGTTCCTCCCGTGTCTTCTCTTCCCACTTCCTGTTCCTCCCCTCCCTTTCCAAATCAGGCTTTGCCTAAGAGGTTCTTACTTGTTTTGTGGAAGAACCGGTGGTTGCGACGCTCCGTATCCAGGGAGTTCGGCGTGGCTCATTTCCCTGGTCTTGGCTTCCTCGCAGCGTTACTCGGGGTCCCGGGCCTTGTTCCCTGGGCCCCCCAGTCCTCCCTCGGTTTCTCGGTCTTGTTCCTCGCCTTCCTTTCTCCCTTTCTCGGGTTCCCTGGTCTTGTTCCTTGGGTTCCCCGGTCGTTGCAATGCCAGCAAGTGCATTGCCGAGGAATGCCAAGGAACGCCAAGCAATGCCAAGCACTGCCAACCAGAGTCAAGCAAAGCAAAGCAATGCCAGGCGGCGCCAAGCAACGCCACGCAGTGCCAAGCAATGACAAGCAATTGTTACAACGCAACGCAATGTCAAGTGATGCTGCGCGATGCCAAGCAGCGCCAAGCAATGCAAAGCAGTGTCAAGGACTGCCGTGCAAAGCCAAGCAACGCAAGCAATGTAAAGCAACGCCGAGCAGAGCCAGGCAACGCCAGGCCACGCCGAGCAAGCCACATCTGCTCCACGCAGTGCCAGGCCTGCTGAATTACCTACTTAGGAAGCTTTCCCCCCCATAGGGTCGCGCCAATTTCGCCCCCCCCTTCCGTCACGTTCTCTACCCCGCTTCCCGTGCCCCTGCTCTCCTCGCCCCCCTCCCCGGGCCCATCTCGATCCGACCGCTCGGCCCGACTCGACGTCGACGCCGGCAGGCTCGGGCCGATTCGGTGCCGATGGTCCGAAAATCCGATGCCGCCCGGTGTTGCCCGTGTGGCGTGGCGCTGCTGTGCGTGCTGGCGCGGCCGATGCGATCCGATCCCGACGCCGTGCCGAGGCGGCCCGATCCGCCGCGCATGCCGACCCGCCGAGATATCTCCCGGCTCGGTGCTGGCGGATCCTGCCCCCCCCCCCTTCCCTTCGGACGCCGCCTCTGGGAGGCTGCGCTCCGCAGCGTTCCGCATCGGCGCTCGTTCCTCCGTGGTCGAAGCTGGCCTCCTCCGGCCTCCTCCTCCTCCTCCTCCTCCTCCTCCTCCTCCTCCTCCTCCTCCTCCTCCTCCTCCTCCTCCTCCTCCTCCTCCTCCTCCTCCTCCCCCTCCTCCTCAGTCCCCCGTTTCTGCCGTGCAATCCCATGCGATGTGGCCGGCTTTGGCCGAGTCCTGGGCCTCCTCGTGCCGGCGGAGCTGCCCCCCCGAGCCCCCTCGCCGCGCCGAGGCTGACCAACCCGACGAGCCTGGAGGCCGCCCGGCGGCACCTCGCCCAGGGGGCCACGTGCGGACCCTACCCCCACCCCCTACGGTTTTTCGGAGGGGGAGGGTGGGGTTCGCTTCGCTCGGGGGAGCTCCCGAGGGAAGGGACCCCCCCCCCTCAGAAAAGTCGTGGGAAGTGGGGGTAGGGTCCGCATGTGGCGCCCTATCGCCCCTATCGCCCCGCGCCTGGGCCCGGTGCCGAGGGTGGCAGCTCGTGGCTCGGCGGTCGCCACGCTCGAGTCGGTGGGCTCGGAGAGAGGGGGCCCCGAGGGCCTGCATGGCAGCTCCCGCGGCGGCGCAGGCCGAGCCCTGCCGCCGTCGATCGAGGAATCGGGCAACCCTCAGGAGGGGCAAAAACACACAGACACAAGTAATCGTCGATCCCCCAGGAAATCTGGGAAAATATGGGAAGTGGGGGGGAAGACAGAAACCCAGAAAGTATAGGAACATGTGGGGAATCTGGTTATTTGTGTCTATCTATTTGTGTGTCCCAGTTCCCCTTCAAACTCGACGGGCGGCGTGGGCAGGGTTCAGGATGCGGCAAGCACGTGGCGGGATCCGGACCCAACCCCCGCGTCCCATCGATTCAGGAGAATCGATGTTTTTTTGGGGGGGTAGGGTTCGGATGTTGCCACCTGTTTCAATCTATCGTGAGCGTCGAGGAGCAGCAGATTACGTACATAGCACCCCGCAGTTTCGGATCAGAGTGAGGGGGCGGCGGGGTCGTCGGCAGTCTGCGAGGCTCTGAAGAAGCCCGCCGCAGGCGTTTGTGTTTGTGAGTGTTGCTTGTTTCTTTGATGCATCTAAGAGTTGTGCAACGAGCCCGCCGCAGGCCTTGAACTTTTCGTCAAAGCTATGTGGATGTTTCGCGGGTGGGTCGCGGATGGGTCGCCGGGTGGGTCGCGTGGTGGGTCGCGGGGTGGGTCGTGGGGTGGGTCGCGGGCGGGTCGCGGGCGAGAATGACGACAACAACGCAACAACACCAACGCAACATCATCAACCATTCTAAGACTGTTCGTTCTGATTGGCTCGCGTGTCACTCAACATGCATATCCCAAACCCTTGATCCCCTCCCCCTTTCGTCTTAGATCGCACCTCCCTTGGGGGTATATCTTCCTTGCCTGCCATGCGTAGTTGGCGCAACCCATAAAGCAGGGGAAGGAAGGGAGAAGGGAAGATGCTAGGGGGAGGGAGAAGGATGGAGCACGAAAGATATTTGCATGAGGGAGGTCAGGAGCAGGAGTGCAAGCGGCAAAATCAGACGGGCGGGTCGGGCGGGCGACCCCTCGGACAATGAGTAACCGTTCGGCCCCATCAGTCCGACAAAACATAAACATCACGGGGGCCGCGCGGATTTCTTGAGCCCCCTGGCGGCACCTCTGGCGCCGCCCCTGGCGGTCCAGCGCCCGTCCAAGAAATCAGCGCGGACCTCCGAAACTTAATGGTGATGTGAAGTTTTGGTTGCTCGAAAACATAGCTCGTTGTCGGCGTCGCCGCGGGCGCTGTCCACTGAAGACCGAAGATAGCCTGCCCGACACCACAGCGGCCGCTGTCGGTTTTGGACAACTTTTGCTACTGGGCATCGTATTCATTTTTCCGAACCCATTTCGGGCGGGCCAAGATTGCGCGAAAGAGCGGCCCTTCGCCAGAGTGATTTTCGGCTTCGCGATTCGGAAGGGTTATCGGACGCTTCCGTCGGTCCTGGAGGTCTTCCTGCCTTGAGATGCGTTCCAGCAGCTGCGCCTCGCTGAGGGCGCTCCGGGGGTGCCCGAATCGTCCCCAACGGCCGCCAGAGAGCCGCGCTATGACCCGAACGCCAGACACAGACATATCCTGAGTTTTTCAATCCGCGGCCCCAGAGCTCCCGCCCCTTTCCCGAGGGTAGTTGAGAGCGTTCCCCGGGTCCATTTTTGATTGCCCCGCGGCGCGATGAATCGGCGGCGAGCGAGGGGGGGAAGTGAGAAAGAGAAGGCCTTCTCAGAAGGCGGCGGGGCTTCTCAGAAGCCCTCCGGCCTCCTGAGAAGTTTCCTGTGTCTTCGGGGCAGGCTTCAGCAACTCTTCAGAAGGCGGGGGGACGTCCGAGCCTTCTGGGGAGGCCCGCCCCTTCTCATCTTCGCCCCGCGTTCGCCGCCAAATATAAAGGGTCCCAGATGCCGAAGTCGAAGGGACAGGGCGGGATTGAGACCATCATATCGTCGGAGATCTGGGCGTCAGCGTGGCCCCTCGCGGGAGCGACCTCAGGCGCGCGCCGTCCGGGGCGCACGGGGGCGGCCAAGTCTGAGCACGCGCGCGGGCCGCTGCTGGACGTGCAGTGCCTCCTCCGCGCCTGGCAGCCACCAGGACCCGAGCCGGCCTCCCGCACACCGTGAAGCACTTCGCGCTCTGACTTGGACGCCCGACATGGGCACGGAAAGACTGGGCACAATTCCGACCAGCAGTTCTTGCGCATTTTGAACAGGACTCGCTGCCGGTGCCGCCGCGGCCCGTGTACATTTGAGACAGAGGGCCGTCTGCCCAACCGCGGCCGCTATTGGTTTGGGACAAGCTTTGTTGTTGGGCATTGTACCCACTCTTTCCGTGCCCACTTCGGGCGTCCAAATCTGAGGGCGTTCCGGCTGTCCGCGGCCGCTGTTGGTTTGGGACAACCTTTGTTGTTGGGCATTGTGCCCACTCTTGCCGTGCCCACTTCGGGCGTCCGAATCTGAGGGCGCTCCGGCTGTCCGCGGCCCTCCCCGCCTCGGTGCCTCCCTCGCTCCGCAGCAGCCCTGCCGGCAGCCACGGCCGCAGCGCGGAGGCCCGGCCCGGGCGCCGCCGCTCCACCGCCTGGGCCGCTGCTGCCGCCCCCTGCGCGCGGCGATCGTCCAGCCCCGGCGCCACAGAGGACGCGCCCCGCGTGCGTGCCGCCGACCGGCGGCGGCGCGTGGCGGCGGCCATCCGCCGCCCCGCGGAGGTTTTTTTTTTTTTTTTTTTTTTTTTTTTTTTTTTTTTTTGTTTTGTTGCTTTTTTTTGGAGGGGGGGTCTGCAGTGGGCCAACGTCGCCCCATCGCCGCCCCCACAGCTCGGACACTGGAGCATGTGCATCACCACCGGCGAGCTGTCTTTGAATCCCAGGACTTTTTGATGGTCGGGGCGACGTCGGGGTGGTGTGATGTGTGTGTATATATATACAGATGGTCAAATTTCTCTTAGGAAGAAGCCTTTTCCCGAAGAAACAGCGACATGTATACAGTAGGGTCCCGTATACACCAGGATCCGCTTTCCTGTGCAAGTGTCAGTGCTGGGGCGGCACAAGCGCCGCTATATATAGAGTTCGGCTCCCCAAGAGTGGCGCTTCTGGAGCTCGTCCTTGGAGGCCTTCGCGGCGAAGGTCTTGCCTCCGCCTCCGCCTGCGCCTCCACGCGGCGACCCCCAAAGTTGCCCAGGAGACAAATAGCTCCGGGGGGGGAGGCGTCGACCCCCGATCGATCATTCATCGCCGACGAGGGGCCCGAGTGCCCAACTCGCCCAAGATCGCGCGGATCCGCTATCGGGGGCCTCTCGCCGATCTGCAGTGGAGGCCCATGCCAAGAAACACCCTGCTCGCCTCCAGGGTGCACTGGGTTTCTTGGGTTTCGAGGGTTTTGCGACGGAAAGCGCGAGGTTCCCACACCAAGACTCACTGGACGTCCTGGGGTCTCAGGGTTGGGTTTCTTGTGGAAGGTTTCTTGTTGTCGGGCCTCCACTGTATCAGCGATGCATCGCCGATCCCAGGTCGATGTTCCATGTTCCCCCCCTGAACGGGTCCCCCCATGACGTTGCCCCCGCGTTTCCGTGGAGGGATGGGCCGGGCCGAGCCACCGAGAGTGCACGGGCGGAAATCGGGGGAGACTACCTTCCAGGGCCCATGTCGGCTCGACCGATCCGACTCGATGTTGGTACAAGCTGGCCCGATCCGATTCCCTTCCGATGCTCCGGCGATCCGATGCGGCCGGGTATTGCACTGCGCTGTTGTGCATCCTCGCTGGGCCGTTTCGATTCGATTCCCACTCCGCGCCGATGCCGACAGAGAGAGAGAGAGAGAGGGAGGTAGAGAAAGAGAGATAGAGAGAGAGCAAACAGTGCACGTCCAGAGTGCATCGGCAGTGAAACGCGCGGGGCTATGCTTGCGCTGGCGCGTCAAAGCAGAGGCGCCAGGCAGCCGTGCGCCACGCGTGCGCAGGTCCAGTGAGTACCTGTTGGATAGATGCTTGTCCGCCAGCTGCTTGGCATGCCGACAAGGCGGAGTTATTTATGTTGTGAAGGCCTTGCGGCCGGTGCCGCCGACACTGAAGGCCGGACTTCCTCCACGACCCGACCCCCGCCAGCGCCCCCCTCCACTGTACCCGCCGGGACCCGGGGGGGGGGGGCATTCTGACCGGGCACCGCCCTCTCCCACCACAGGCGGGACCTCCCCCAGGACCCCCCCCCCCAGGACCTCCCTTGCACATGCGGGCCCTTGATGTATCCTCTTTGTCCACAGTGGGGGGGGCCGGGGATGGGTACCCTTGGGGACCACTTATCGACCCCTCTCCTTCTGGCGAAAAGATATCCTTGCCGCCCCTGGAAGTGATACCCCTCCTTCCAGCGAAACTGCGGCTCTCGCCTCAGCGCCGCGCACATTCTTCTGAAACGTTTGCAGCAGTTTCACGGATGGAGAGCGCGCGGGTCCTTCTCAGAACTTGGCCGTCGCCATCGCGTCGCGCATATCCATCTTCAACTTTTGCAAGTGTTTCACGGATTGAGGGCGGGTGCTTTTCTGAATGAGTCGCGAGGATTCTTGCAGGTTGCTGAAGGATCCCTTGTAATTGTCAATTGCGCTGCATCTGCGCTCCCAAGACACGATCCTTGCAGATTGCACGGGGCCAGGCAATTTCGACAACGACGACGAGGACGCTTTCACCGACACTCGGACGAGTCCGACTCCGACGACAACCTCGGCGACGGCAGCGACGACGACCACGACGACTGCGACGAATCTGGCGACGATGACGGCGACGACGGAAATTCTGGTGACAACCCCGACGACTACGACGAAGGCTCTACAAGTGTCTCCAACGTCTCCGACTCCGCGTGTAACGACTTCTCGGCAATTCTGACGACGACTGCGACGACGGCGACGACAGCGACGACGACGCCGATTCCGACGACGACGCTGGCTTGTCCGAGGACAGCGAAGACGACTCCGAATAATGGCCGTCAGAGCCGTCGTCGTTGTTGCCGTCGTCGGTTTCGTCGTTGTCGTCGTCGACGTGTTGTCGTCGTTGTCGGCGTTGTCGTCTCTGCCAGAACCAGAGTCGGAGTCGTCGGAGTCGTCGGAGTCGCCGGAGGCCCTCGAGTCGTAGTCGCCCTCGTCACTCGGTTCGTCCACTTCGTCGCCATCGTCGTGGTCGACGGAGTCTTCATCGTCGGAGTTGCGTTTGTCGGAGTCGTCATCTTTGTATGAGTGTCCGAGCCGTCGTCGGCGGAGTTGTAATCGTCGTCGTCGTCGTCGTCGTCGTCGTCGCTTGAGTTATCGGGGTCACGTCGCCGTCATCGTCGGCGTCGTCGTCGGAGGCGTCGCCAGTGGCGATGGCTCCGTCGTGATCGGAACTAGAATCGTCGTCCGAGTCGTGATCGGAGTCGTCGTCGTTGCCAGAGTCAGAGTTGAAATTGTCGACGCCGTCGTCGCCACCGGGGTCGGCATCGCTGGATTTCTCGCCAGTGTCGTTGGAGTCGGTGTCCTCGTCGGAGTCATCGCCGTCATCGTCGGAATCGGAGTCTTCAGCGGAGTCCTCAGAGTCGCCGTCGGAGTCATTCGCCGTCGCCATCGTCCGAGTCGTCGGCTCTAGCGGGGGCGCTCGCATGCGGGCCCACGCCCGTTTCGGCACAACCCTTACGCGGACCGTGCCCCCATATAAAGCGCTGTCTACGGCCCCAGTGGTGACGTCTGCATGCTGGCCCACGCCGTCGCGGTCGTCGTCGTGGCGGAGGGCCCCAGTGACTTCCCCCACGGTAAACATCGCCGTGGTAAATAATCTCCGCTTCATCATGATAAAGAGTGATCTCATGATCGATCTTTGCTTCATCCTGATGCACCTTGGCTTCATAATGGGGAATCAGCCCAAAACGCGATGATGCCCATGTGACTTGTTTGGGATGGTACGCAGGGGGCGGTCATCGTATCACCTCTACGACTATGGGCGAGGACCCCATGAGGGTGAAATCCTAGGTGCCGAATGCTCGTGGGCTATTTGCCGAATGGCGCGGGCAGGCTTTACGCGCGAATAGGTCTAGTTCCGATGCTAGGCCCTGAACAAAGGTGGGTAGTACCCAGTTGCTTCCCCCGACTGGCCTCACCATGTTCCCCTCTTTTGGAGGGAAGCGCGTTTTCGCAAGCTTGTCCAGACCCTTCTTACCTGCAGCTGTTTCATGGCGCCCGGCCCCTCTCAGCCAAGAAAGTGGGTCACCGGAACAAGTATGTGACCAACAACGTGCCAAGATTTGTGACCGAAAACGTGGTGTGACCGATGTTGCGACCGAAATTGAAAATCGTATCAGCCTCGCGGCAAACATGTCGGTGACACTCGGGTGCGGTCGGAATCTTTCGGGCGCCTCTTTCGGTCCCATTCGGGCGGATCTTCGGGCACTGCTTCGGTCATCATATCACCCCCAATGTAGAGATGAGGCTGCGTGAGCTGTTGGTCGCTCTCAGGTTCTCCCAGGGTGGTGAGGAGCCGATGCGCCGAGCCACCACGCCGGTCACACCGCCGACGCCCCCCGCAGGCACCGCGGTGGGTGGGACGGGCGAGCCTGGAGGGGAGTGCCGCGACATGGCTGGGTCAGCCACTCCTCGTCGTCATCGTCGTCGCCGTCGTCGTCGCCGTCGTCGTCGTCGTCGTCGTCGTCGTCGTCGTCGTCGTCGTCGTCGTCGTCGTCCTCGTCCTCGTCCTCGTCGTCCTCATCCTCCTGGTTCATCTGCTTCGCGTTCAGCCTCGGTGTGCGGGATGGACCTTCCCTTCGGGGTAGGTTCGGTGTCGAAGACGCCTTTCGGCCACGCTCCTCCTCCTCCTCCTCCTCTTCCTTCCCTTCCTTCCTTCTCCTCCTCCTCCTCTTCCTTCTCCTGCTCCTTCTCCTCCTTCTCCTCCTCCTCCTCCTCCTCCTTCGTCTCCTCCGTCTCCTCCTCGTCTTATCAACCACCGATAGGGACACTAGGTCGCACTTCTGACTCATACGTAGATGGAGGGCCAGGAGTCGGCGGCGTACGGGACCTGGGCCAGGCCACTTCCTGCAGCGCCAGGGGCGAGAGGGCGCATCCTGAATATTGTCGTCGCCTTGGGGCTTGTCAACCTTGGGGATAGGGATCAGCTCGAGGCTGCTTACACGCCGGTTGAAAGTAGGTATATTTGGACTCCCAGATCCTAGTCTGCTTTAGGCGCCTTCCTACTTCATGAGTCGAGCGATTTTCTCTCTCCTCTCCTCTTCAGGGGGCGGGCGCGAGCCCGATCTATTTTCACCGCCTTCCTGCTTCATGCCTCCGCCCACTCCTTCCGACCGATGGCTAGGGATGAGCTCGAGGCTGGCTACCCCCCCCGCTGCTCCCCTGCCCGCCCCTGCCCGGCTCCCTGCACGGCGGCCCCTGCGCGGCCCCGACCCCCCAGGCGATGGGTGTCCCCTCCGCGGCTCCCCTGCGGTACCCCCCCCCCCGCTGCTCCCCTGCCCGCCCCTGCCCCGCGTGCCGCAGGGCAGGCCGCAGGGCGCGGCCCCTGCCCCTCGGGCGATGGGCGTCCCCCCCCCCCTCGCTGCTCCCCTGCCCGCCCCTGCCCCGCGTGCTGCAGGGCAGCACCCTGCGCGGCCCCCCCCCCCCCTTAGAGGTCCGCTATCACTGGTGCTTCTCGGTCCGCGGCGAGGACCGGCCCCGGCGCAGCCGCGCGGCCTGTCCCTGGGCGGCCGCCCCCGCGCCGCGGCACCTCCCGGGGGCGGCCACCCCAGAGATCGGACGCTCCCACAAGCCCAGACCCCCTCGAGTCCTGAAAAGGTCACGACGGGAGGTTTGTCCATCTTGTCGGCCTCCAGCGGGCCTCGGGACCGTCGAAAAACGACCCCGGATGAAACGCCGGCCCTCTGGGAAGGGGTCACAACCTCTGGGGGCCGACGTGATGACAAAATCATGACGCCGGGGGTCTGGGAAAGTCGGAACGGCAGGCTTTTGGCCAGTGTCGGCCTCCCCGGGGGCCCTCGCCGGGCCTCGGGGCCGTCCAGGGCCGGCTCCGGGCGAAGAGGCGCCGGCCGCTGCGGAAGTGGCTCCGACCTCCGGGGCCCACGCGCCGAAAAGGCTGGAGCGGCCGGATGTCGGGGAGGGGGGGGGAGGATGACCAGGGGGCGGGTGAGTATCCTGGCGGGGGCAAAGAGGCCTCCCAGACTTCATGGCCCCCTCTTCCCAATTACGTCAATGCGTCCCTTGGCCCCCCCTCGTCCGCGCAGGTGCCCCAGGCCACGATTCGCGAGCCCTCCTGGTGGACGCCCTCCTCTTGGTCGCCCCCGAGCCTGGGGCCCGGACATCCTCGCGCCGTGGAGCAATCGCGACGCAAGGGTGTTTGACAGTATTCGGCCTCTGGGGGCCCTCGCCGGGCCCTCGTCGGAGTTTTTGAGCCTCCAGGAGGTCTCTCGTCGCCATGGGTTTCCCTTTGAACATCTGGTCAGAACGCGCCCCTGGAGAGGTCGCTGAGTTCGACTTTGACCCCCAGTCTCACGCCCCGCTGCGTCGTGAGAAAACCGCGACGGGATTTTTTAAGTTAGGTTTTTTTTTCGCCGGGCCTCAGGACCGTCAAAACGCGACTCAGCCGGTCCCGGGGAAGGGGCCCAGACATCTGGGGGTCGGCGTTGCGGCGGAGGATATCTGCCCATCCAAAGACTACTGCTGAACACGCTGCGGCTC